CAAGAGTCCCTGCCCTAGTTAAAGGGGAAGACAAGCTTTAAGGAGAGCAAATTCTAAAGAACAAACCTTAGGATGAAAAGGTGGTAAGCTTGAAGTGTTCTGCTTCATCTTCTAGTTGCTGTTAAAATCCTGATACTTATAAAACTCATAAAATACGAGCTCTGTTTTGTTCGGTGACAGCGCCTGCAGGGATTCTCCAGTGTTTTTGGGATTGCTCTAACTGGAGCACAGAGACATTTAGATCTTTATCAGTTTTGAGAAGCATGAACTGCGCCGATTTGTTAAGCAAAGAACCCGGGGTTGAAAACAGGCGTCTCTGTAAGGAGCTGCTCTCCTCCAGGCCTTTTAGGTTGCATTTTATTTGAGCATCCTTGAAGCAAGGAATCACTCGGCTTCTTGTGGCTCACCCAGTAATCTCTGCACCTTGCCTGGCATGGGAAAAGGGGTGTGCATTTAGATGTGCAAAAGTCAGAGACAAGTCTTCTAGGGTAGTTTATCCCAGCCTTTCCTGGCAGCCAGGGCATCCATTTGGTGCCATCAGCTGCCCCAAGGCAAAGCTGTGCAGTGTGATGTTGTGTTCCAGTTGCTCAGTTTAAATGAATCTGTCTGATTTGAATAAGAATAGGGAGGAGGAATAGTTCATGGCTTCAATTTAGTTGTTTTGACTCTGGTTTTATGCATCTTTGTCACTACAAAGCTGGTGTCTGGGTGGTTCCTGACCCTGTTAAGGTGCTATGAGCAGTTTCCTTGTTGATCCATCCCCTCCTGACAGGTTTGCCTTGAAGGAGCCTTCAAACAGAGCATGTGGGAGCACAGAGGGTGGTAGAGGGTGGCCAGTCAGCACCTTGCTGGGAATGGTGTACTCTGGCTCCCCTTGCCATCTCTGTCTAGTATCTGCAAGCCAGATAAATGGGTCCTGAGCAGGGAAAGAAAAAGTTTGGGCTGTCTGTAGCTTTCCAGAATGGGTGTTTGAGGGAATATCCAAGACACTGTTTAAGTGAGGCAGGTTAGAGACAAGCCTGTTTGCGCTGATTCCTCCCACCAGCAGCAGGCACATGGAGCACAGCAGTGTGAGGAGCTGGGTCAGAACAGACCTGGCTTGATTCATGTTGTGTAGAAAGGGGCAGATAAGGCAATTTTAATAAAGCTTCCACTTAATAAAGGGCAAATGACACCTTTGATCATGGTTCGGGCCTGGATGCAGTCTCAGCATGGTGGTTTCAAAGCCTATTTTAATTGCCCCATCAGCCCCTCCTTTAAGCCAGGCCCTTTTCCCCTTCTGTGTGTGTAACTAAACATCTCTGACCCTTTTGAGTGTCCCGGGTGGCAGTGAGCAGAAACCCAAATGAATTCCCTTCTCTTTTTGGTGCCTTTGTCTCAGGCTTTGAATAAAAGTCTATTTGAAGGAGCTTCTTTTTTTTTAAGGAGCTTCTGAGTTTTTTCTTTTTCCCCAAGGGACAGACATTCCCTGCCCTTGAGATCAGCTGGGGACTGTCTCCCTGTCCCTGGATGCCACCTCTGGAGGTCACAGCTGAAGCAGAGAACTGTGAGCGAATATCTTTGTTTCCAGCCCTTGAGATCAATGGAAGAAAAGCCTAACAAGGGATGGGAGAACTGGAAGAGCTCCTTCAGGTCCCAGAAATCTCCTGAAGGCAGGATGGAGAACTTCCAGACAGTCTGGTGCCTGTGTGTCTGTGCAGTTCAGAGCTGAGTGAGTCATGGCTGGGTCCTGGTGCTTACAGCTTCTGGGTGCAGAGGGATGTTTGGGGGGTCCCGCGCCCCAAATTTACTTGCTGAGGTCTTGCCCTGTGCTGTTCAGGTCTGAACAGGGAGCAGGGACCTGTGTGTTGTCCCTTGGCCTTCCCTCGGTTGAAATGGGATTGCAACAGCCAGGGAAGTGTCTTGATATGGGAACTCTGGGCTGTGCAGGCCTGTTGCTGATGGAAAACAGCAGGAGGAGGGAGAGGACCATCAGAGCAGGTTCAGCCCTTGTGAGACAGATACTGAACAGCTGCAAAGTACCAAATGTTTCAGGCTCTGTTTGGTGCTCAAATGTGGGAGAGATCCGTCTGCTTCTTGCACTTATGGTGAGGAGGGAAGTACCCTCGCTGAGAATCCAAGGGAAATGGGAGCTGGGCCAGCACTGAGCTAATTTACCTACTGGCACTTCTGCATCTCCCCAACAAATGCCAAAGCCTAATACAATTCAAGGATGCCATTTTACTGTCGGCCTGGTTCCACCAGTCTGTCCTCACCGGCTGGTCCCAAGTAGGCTCACACAAGTGTTCTCAAACAGCACAAACACACCAGGCTGGAGCTGGGAAGGCTCAGAAACGTGATCACACGAATGGGCCTCCTGTGCTGCACCTCTGCTTCGCGCTGCCCAGCAGGTCTGGGGCACGTGCACTCATCTTGGATCCAAAGGATTTGTCCCAGGAGTATAAGTAGCATTGAAAGGTGCTGGGCTGGATGGGAGAGGTGAAAGCAGGTCCATGTCTTCCGGGACTCTGGCTTGCTCAGAGTTTATTGCTGTATATTAAATACTATTTTTGAAGACTGAGGGGAAGATGAGGGAGGGGGAGGGATGTGACGATGCTGTCCCCAGTCTGATCAATGGGATGCTACTGCAGGTTATTGATAGGTTTTGATTTTTTTTTGTTTGTTTCTCAAAAAGTGCTTTATATATATAAAAAAAATTTCAACAAAACACATGCTTTCCTCCCTCCTAGAAACAGTGCTGGCTGATTAGAACATGTGAATAATCTTTTGCAAACATCAAAGGTCTCTGCTAAAGAGTTCGTGTGATGGAGATTTGAAGGCGAGGGGCAAAGTACAGCTTGAACCAGTTTTTAACTGGGAGAGTGTGAATCCAGGAAATGCAGGATCTCTGCCCTGGAGTTGTTCCCAGTCACAAGTAAGGGGGATATGTTTTTCCTGTGCTGCCATGGCTGTTCTGTCACACCGTGGCAGTTCCTGTGCTGGGGTGCTGGAGCAAAACAGCAGCTGGAAACTTACTGGCAAGTGAGGGCATGAATTTTTTGTGGTTTCCTCTGAGGCTTCGTGTCTTCAGAGCTTTTGGTGAAGCAGCCTCGGAGCCTGTGAGAGCAGAGGCAGCATTTGTGCTCGTGGCAGGAGGCAGTACTCAGGACTGTGAGAGGTGACAGTGGTGTTTGGGTCCCATCAGCGCAGCACTTTTAGCATTGGCAGATGGTCCCACCACTCCATAGTGCCTGGCTGGGGATGTGTGGAAGTAACCCATACCCTTGTCATTAAGGACACATCACAAACTGGGTAAAGCTGCAGGTCTGAGAGTTACCTGTAAAGACTAAAGCAGTGTGGGGAGAGATCCCCATCTGTGTCTGTCACCAGTACAAAGGGGTTTTAAGGAGGATTTTTTTATTTTACTGTCCATTGCTTTGTGTTCTAACAACTTGCAGTGACATTTTTTTAGTTTGTTTTGCAGCGAGCTTGGCCCCTGGGTGAAAAGCACAGATATCTATTTCTGATTGCATCAGCTTTGCAGGGACTAGTTTGGGGGGAAAGACGGGTGTGGGGGTGGGCTATTTTATTTTTGGTACACGGTAGCAGTTTTATTTTTTAATTTCCCCAGGATGTTTGGTTGAGGGAATGTTCTGAAATCTACTGTCTGGCAGTTTGACCAGCAGTGTGCTAAAGGAAAATAAACAAAATTATATTGTCACTTGGATGAGATGGTCCCTCTTTTCTGGTGGTAGGGGCAGAGGAGCCCCCTCTGGTTTTTAAACCCAGAGCCTCTCCCTGACACGGCCTCCACCACAGCCCTGGTGTTGGCACAGCCCTGGTGTTCTCTTGCCAGTCATTTTGGGCTATTAAGTGCAAGTTGAATGGTACAACATCCTGTTTAAAGTGCTGATGCAGACCTTGTTGCTTCCTGCTCAGATAAGGAGCGCCAGAGATGTAATCTGCCTTCTGGGGCTTTGCAAGCTGCCCCCTTTTCAGCTTGAAACTGCATCAGAGGTGGGCAGGCGGGGCTGGAGCTGGAGCAGAGAGAAGGCAGCACCTTTGTGTTCTAGGTGCCTGATCTGGGGGTACAAGGGGCTCTAGCCCCATGCAGAGCAGCTGCTCTTCCAGGCAGCCTGGCTGTGTCCTTCCCAAGGCACAGGATGGAGGTACCGACCCCATGCAGTGAGGAGGGTTTAGGAGCGTTGGCTGGACAGGCTTTTGTGAAATAGCTTTTGGTTGGCAGTAGGAGGTGCGTTCTGCTCACAAGCAGCAGCAAACATCACTAACCACTGCTCTAAATGCGCTTCTGCTCATGGTGAACATGTTCAGTGTTGGCTGGAGACTGAAAAGAGGATGCAGATGTTTCTTGTTCTTGCCCCAGTTCCCCAAAGGGCTGGAGGTGGGATGGTGGGCTGCCCCTCTTTGGGAGGAAACGCATCCTTTCCTCCATCTGATGCTCCTGTGAGTCACTCCAGGTGGGACCTCCCCAGTCCCTCCCACCAGGCTCAGGACGCTCGTCCGGGGTCTGCTGCTGTCACCTTCGGTGTGCCCGGGGTGTCCCCAGGCCCTGCAGCAGGGGGGTGTCGCTCCATGGCATCCCCTTGCTGACACCGTACCGGCTCCCCGAAAAGTGCCCTAAACAGACCGTCCCATGACCACACCGGGGCTCTCGGGGGACACCCGCTCTGTGATCACCGGCCGTGCTTTCGTCAGCGGGGTGATGCCAGCGAGGGGTGATGCCCGGCAACCCAGGCAGGAGCGGGGCGGGGGCTGGCAGCGGGGCAGCGGGAGGAGGCTGGTTTTGTTTGTTTCTTGTGGGTTTTTTTCCCCTCAAGTAACTCCCCTTCCCCTCCGGCCCGTCCCGCTGCGCACCCGGGGGTCCCGATGCCGCGCCTTTGGGGTCACCCATCCGGGCGCGGCCGCGCCGGGCCCTGCTGAGCTTCGGGCGCGGCGTTGCCGGGCAACGGCCCCCTTGCCCCGCCCCGCCCCGCGCTCCCATAGCTACCGAGGCGGGCGGCGGCCATCTTGGCGGCGGCCATGAGCGGCTCCAGGGCGCGGGCGGCGGCGGCGGCGGCGGCGGGGCCGGACAAGAAGCCGCCGCCGGGATCCGCGGGGCCGCTGAGCCGCCTGCGAGGCCGCCGCGGATCGGCCGACGCGGCGCCGCGGCCGCCCTGGACCGAGTCCGAGTTGCTGGCGCTGGAGACCGTCCGGCCCGAGCACGTCCTGGGGCTGTGCCGGGTGACGGAGAGTGAGTGCGGGCCGGGCCCGGCGCGGCGGGGGCTCCGCGGGGCTCTGCGGGACGGGCCCCCGGGGCGGGAGCGGCGGGTCCCCGGGGGAAGCGGCGGGGAGGGAGCACTCGGGCGGCGGTGGCCGCAGCAGAGCGGGAGGTGCCCACCGGCAGCTTCCTTACAACTTCCAGAAAGTTTGGGGTGTTTGGGGTGGTTTTTTGTGGGTTTTTCGTTTTGTCTTTGTTTTCTGCTGGGATGCTGATCTCTGCTTTTCTGCCCCGATCCTTTCCCTTTCTCCCTCCGCTACCTGGCACCTACCGTGCCTTTGTTTCTTCTATCCTTAACTTTGTCCTGCTTTCATGAAGCTTCTGCAAAACAATGAGCTCCTTAACGGGCTGGAGGTAGCAAAAAAGGAAATTAATTTGGTACGTGATCAGGGGTATTTTGAAATGTTACTATGTGTTTTTTCTCTCTTCTAGATTATTTATGCAAACCTGAGGACAACATTTACAACATTGACTTCACCAGGTTTAAGATCCGGGACCTTGAAACTGGAACAGTGCTGTTTGAAATTGCAAAGCCGTCTGCCTCAGGTACATCACACTAACATTGCAGGGACAGTAGAGACTCAGAGAGCTGATAAGTTGCAATGCAGGACCCATGCAAACCAAGCAGAAAGGTCCTTTGATATGTCCTGGTGACTGAATTCCTTGCCTTTAAGCATAGGATTGAGTTTATCTCTGCTGAGAAACTTGTCATAAAAATGTGATTTTCGTGAGATGGGGGAGTCCTATCAGCTGCAAATCTTTCCTTTTTGGGCTTGATATGGTACAGAGTTGGTTTCATGTGCTTTCGTGTGATGGGGTATTTCCCGTGAGATCAGCTCTGAAGCCACCAAATACCAACTGTCACTGCAAATCTTTCAGATTTTTACTTAGTGCCAGTATAAGAATCAGACCAGTTATTAAATGTATTTATGTTCAGTACCTAAGCAATAGCCAGCCTGTGCTGATGCACTGGCTGGCCAGTATCACCTTACATGGACACACAGTATCAGCAGAGTAACTCTGAGCTGGTGTGTTTTCTAGAGCACGATGAGGAGGATGAGGAGGACAGCAGTGAACTGGACGCGAGTGCAGGTCGCTTTGTTCGGTACCAGTTCACCCCAGCGTTCCTCCGGCTTCGGACCGTTGGTGCAACGTGAGTAGGGATTCATGGAATGAGGGGAGAGTCGGGTGTTTACAAAGTGTCACTTGACAGTTTATAATAAAACTGTGTCAAAGACTGGAGAGGGCCCATCTTAAACTACAAATATCGATGTCTCTCTCTGGAATGATTTGTTGCACACTTGTGTAGCCTCAGGTCCAAGGCTCTGTTCTTCCCAATAGGAAGAGAGGTATATCATCTTAGCTGCTTTTTCCTGCTTTCTGTGTGCAGAGTGGAATTCACAGTGGGAGAAAAGCCAGTGTCAAACTTCCGAATGATTGAGAGGCATTACTTCCGAGATCGTCTGCTGAAGAACTTTGACTTTGATTTTGGCTTCTGCATCCCCAGTAGCAGGAACACATGTGAACACATCTATGAATTCCCTCAGCTCTCAGAAGACCTTAGTAAGTACCTCCTTTGCCACGTTGAGTGGTGTTTTGTTTGTGTGCATCTGCTCATTTTCTCCCTAACTCTGCTTGTAAAAGAAGTTGTGACTGGGATGGAGGCGACAGGAACAAACAGATACAGGTTCCTGGTTTAAGCAGTGTGTAATCTTGTCTGAATTACACATTTGTGCTGCAAAGCCTCCTCCTTTGAAAATGAAAGCCTAAGACAACCTGTGCTAAGTCACAGGCTGCGAGAACTGATGAGAGTCAGAGGGCTGACACACCTAATGCCTCGTAGTGTAGCCCAGAAGAAAACAAAATCCTGAAAAGGGGTTCTTTTGGTAGCCACCCATCTGTTTTCAGCTGCTTGCTTTGTTAGGGCTTGAGCCTCCTGCTTTGGAACAGAACTGAGGGGGTGTGTTTGAGCCTGCCTAGATCTCTGCAAATACACATTGCATGGGGTATGTTTGACCTCAGGGGGTGGATAGAGCAGGAGCACGTGAGCCCTCCTGGGGCTGCCTGGATGCAGGAGGAGACACAGGGTTTGTACCCTGCCTGTGTACGTGTGGGGAGTGCTCCTTCTGCTTACAGATGTGATCACTGCTCTGTTCCAGTCATGGCTCTGGCAGTTGCCAAGGTCCTTTTGAGTAAAATTGCTTGATCCCCCTTTGTTTGCTTTTAACAGTACTTGTCTTGTGAATAGGAAGAAAGGGCAGGCCGGAGCCTTTGAAGTGCGCTCAGCAGCAGTTGGCTTCTCTCCCTTGGGTAGGGCAGAGCATCAGCCTGGTAAATGCAGTGGAGTGGCAGAGCCCTTTTTATCCTGACTGTGGCAGGCTGTTGAATGTAATGAAGCTTTCTCTTTACAGTCCGTCTGATGGTTGAAAACCCGTACGAGACGCGCTCGGACAGCTTTTACTTTGTGGACAACAAGTTGATAATGCATAACAAGGCCGACTATGCTTACAATGGGGGACAGTAGCCATCCTGTCTGCTGGATGCTGAGATGCCATTAACCATTCCAGATGTGCAGGAGCGGACTAGAGTTGCTGTCTTGTGCAACAAGGCTTCTTGCCAAACCTTTTCTCCGTGCATGAGGCTGAGGACATGAAGCAAAGGCGAAGGCTCCTGAAGGAAATCTCCCTGCAACACTTCTCTATCCGACACTCGGCGTATCCTGCCTCTCCTCCTGTGTTCCTGGCTACCTTCTGATACCTTGGTTAGGTCATGGATAAGAGGCACAATTCTTGCTCTTAGTCTTTATAGTTAGGTTGCACCTTAGTGCTTCTGATGCTTCACCTCTTGGGTGACTGCTCTCTTTGAAGAGGTGAGATTGTTTGTGTTAAGCTTTTTCTTAGCTGAAAAAATCTTACCCCTTCAAGTAACCAGTGATGCCTGAAGAGCAGATCTCTTCTCTAGTTGGATAGATCCTCTCTTTAGTGCACAGTGGTTTAGTTTGTAGCATGGCTGACATTGCTTTTTAGGGTGCATCCCAGTATTCTGCAGTGAGAAGGATAAACTAAGAGACTTATTCCGCTTCTAAACAGTGCAGGAATCTTCCGTCTGCCTCTGGGGGCCTGAGCTGCCCCTGAGAATAGTTTAATCTGTGTTTTGCAAGAGATTTCACTAGAGATACGAGATAGGGGAAAAAAGGTTTTATCGCTCTGATAGCATTTCTCTTTGAGCTCTTGTCAGCAAATTGTTGCATGTTAGAGCTAAGAGGTCAACCTTAGAGCTGAAGTTAATCTCACTATGTTTACCATTTCTCCTGCTTCCCTTTGTGTAGGAATTTTGGCTCTTGCTACAGAATGTGTTGCTTTTTAGATGGACAGCACATTGTCAGCCTGGCTGGGGTGTAGGGGAGTGGGACTTAGAGGAAAAAGGGAGAATGTGGAGAATCACTTGAAAAAATGTGTAGGAAGCAGAGTTTCCCAGGCTTCAGTCTATACTTCTAAACCCAAATGATCTGTCAGAGGTGCTATGAGGAGCACCAGCTCATTTGCTTTGTTGCATTGGAGGTATTTAGTAACTAAAAGCTTCCTGGGTCAGTTCACTCAGTGTTACGGAGTGGGATCCTTGGAAAGTGAGAATGTACATGATTTTCTTTTTAGCTGCTGGGGTTCCCATCGCTGCTTTGCCTACTCAGCTGCTTATTTATGGTTTGGGAAGTTGTTCTGTCGAGGTAGATACCACCAGACCAGAGGGAGTGTTTCACAGCTGTGTTTGGGATCTGGTGATGGGAGATAGCACCATGCAGTGGGAAGAGGAGACCTGTGTGTTGCCAGTAGCCATACTGGGGCCTGGCTCCTGACCATGCAAAATCTCATCTATCAAAACCCTTTTCTGCCAGTTTTGCTGGCTCTTGAGACTGGCACTTTTCCTGTCTCCACACTGGGCTGATCAGCTGTGTCTCTTGTACGTGGGAGTTAGGTTGTGTCTAGACTAGAGACCTTCTCTAACATTAATTCCATTTGTTCTTGAGACAGATGAAACCTATCTCCTTGGTGGATATGGTTGGTTACCTGTTGTGTTAAGTAAGATTCGGTGTAGTTTGTTTAAGCAGGATTGAGTGGGGCATCACAAACCAGAGCTTATTAATGCGTAGACAGCAACAGGAAACCACTGCCTTTACCTCCAGATTAATGGAAGTAACTTTGGCATGGAACATCAGCTGGCACCAGGGTAAGCAGGGAAAGTGTGTGGGGTGGCAGCCATGAAAGAATCTCCAGCTCTTGGGAAGATACTTAATTATGATTAACCACAACAAATGACCTGTTCTGGGTGGAGCATTAATCATCAGCAACCACAACAAATGTCTTGGGAATGCAGAGGGGCAAGGTCTGCGTGGTTGAAAGATGAAGAACCATTCTGCTACCATGGATCCCCTCCAGCATCTCCACAGGCACTTAGGCAATCTTGTTTGGTTATTTCAGGATTAGTTAAAGCTGCTGGGAAGGTGGAGCTCGAGAAGCCTCTTGCAGTGAGTGTCTTCAGCAGGCCTCCTGTGGTGCCAGTGAGGTGGGAAGCGTTTGCCTTGCTGTGAGTTACATGCAATAAGGCAGAACTGCCTGGAAGTGCGTTTTTCACCCTGAAGTGCTCAGAAGCAGTGTCTGAAGAGCCTGCTAGTTATTCCCTGGGAAACTTTAGCATGTTGAGCTGAATTTTGTAAGTAGTATAGATCCAGGTGCCTTCAAATATTACTTTTATCACACTTCCTATTACGAAGCAACCGCTTCCGTTTTTTGTGAAGTGTGGTGACGCCCTCCTGTTTTCTGTGTCAGTGTGTAAAGGTTCCTCAAAGGCAGAAGGGCCCGTGCCCGGCGCGGGCGGGCACCGGCGGGGGCGCGCACGGGGAGCGCGCCCCATCTAGCGGCTGCTGGCGGCAGACTCCGGCAGGAAAAGGGAATAACTCCTGCTGTCCTTTGCCATCAGCAGAGACCAGGAAACAGCACCGGCGCGGTGGCTTTCGCGCTGGTGAATGTATCAGCCATTCAGCAATAAGGAAAAGGAAAACTGGAGGAAAACCGGGAGACTCGCAGGCAGCAGTAGCACCCCTTGGTTTGTAGCTGAATTTGTCTGCTTTGCCAAATCAGGTGGTCTTTGCCCAAAGTGCATGCTGCAGGGAAAAAAAGAGTCCCTACAAGAGGGCAACCCAGCACTGAAAAAGTTGATTGTAATCCAGAAAGTCAGGGATTTCCAAACTCCTCTCCCTACTTTAGTCGCTTCCCTAGGATTCCTTTTCTCTTACATACTTTTTATAAAGCCTCTTTTCTTTGTGGCAGGGATGATATCTTTGGTAAATATGGTTTAACAGACCAGTTTCCTTCCAGAGTGTGTGCTCTGATGCTTTAACGATGGGTCAAAGCTACTTATGCCAGTGAGTTAAGAAATTCCAATGGGATCACATCCTTGTCATGGTCAGTCCCAACCAGGTGCTGCAGGCAGGGGAGATGCTCTCAGAGTCAGCTGGAGTTTGAGCAAGGGAAAAGGTATCTGTGCAGGCAGCTTCTCTCAGGTTGTATGCTGAATTGGAAAGAAAAAACAGTTGGGATCATACTGAGTTCTGCTCTAACAAAATAAGGGACCAAACCCATAAACTCATGCTAAGTTTTTCCAGTGTTTGCCCTATTAGTGCAAGGACCTCTTTTTCACATCTTTGAGGCAAGTGCTTTGGATCCATGCCAGCAAGCTTTCTGGAGAGCTATTTTCATGACCTGAGTGTGGAATACATATTGCACCTTGTGAAGGAAGATTATGTCTTATTGTATGGACTGGATACTGCTGTCCTTGTCCTCTGTTTTTGGTAGGAAGTGTCTTCCTTTGTGTGTTTTCCTGAGGATTTTCAATGTTTCTTGCTGCAGAGGAGCAGCAGGCTTCTCTTTGGTGCTTGGGGATGTTTGTTGCACTTATCTGAGGGTTCAGGAAGAAGGAAACAGATGTTCAGCAGACAGAAATGAATGAGGAAGGTGGTGGTGAAGCAGTAAGGTCCAAATGTAGCAACTCTACATCTCAGTTCTGTGTTTCATCACCTCCTCTTCAGCTGTTTCCCCGCATTCTGTCCCATCCCACGGAGCTCCTTCGTGCTGCCCAGAGCCTGCCTGGCTGTCAGTGAGACCCACGGACTCTCCTGGAGCTTTATGCTGAGGACAAGGCTAAGGGAAGGCAGCCTGATGGAGGCAGCACCTCTTCCTCTGCAGCAACGGGACGATCACCAGCACCCCCTCTCCTGCCCGGATCCCAGTGCTGTCACGGGACATTTATTTATATCTCTCACAGTGTGGCCTTGGGGCTGCTGGCGCGTGGACTCCTCCGTGCTGTCCCCTCCGTCCCCTGGTGCCCGCGGGGGTGCCGGGGTGTCCGTGCGGCCCCCGGTGCCGCTGTATTTGTACAGCCCCTGATTTTGTCACCAGCAAGAGGAATAAAGGACCTTCCTCCCTGTGCGGGGCCGCGCTGAGGGCCAGGGGCGGGGCCGGGGGCCGGGGGCGGGGCCGGGGGCGGGCCGGGCTCTGGAGGGGCGGGGCCAAGGGCTGAGGGGAGGGGCTGGCCTTGCGCCGCCAGGGGGCGCTGCTGCGGCGCATGCGCGGAGCGCGCGCGCTCCGTGAGGCGGCGCGATGGCGGCGGCGGCGATGGCGGCGATCGTTTCCCGCGGCGGAGCCCCCCGGGGTGAGGGCGCCGAGAGGAGCCTCGTTACGCCGCGGCTGCTCAAGGGGGGCTGCGGGGCGCGCGGGAGGGGGGGGAAGGGGCCGCGGCCTGCGCGGGAGGCGGCGCCCCGGTGCCCTTCAGGCCCTGCCTGAGGCGGGTCCCCTCAGCCGCGCGGGCGGCGCCGCCCTTGAGGGGAGCCACGGCTGTGGCCCCGGGGAGGGGGGCCCGTGGGTCCTTCAGGAAAAGTCCCTTCTCCTTCTCCCACCCGTACCCCAGCGGCACCGGCGCTGAGCCCCGTCCCCGTTGCAGCGCTGTCCCTGCGGTGCCGCCGCCTGCACACCGTGTACCAGAGCGCGGAGCTGCCCGAGACGCACCAGATGCTGCGGGAGACCGTGCGGGACTTCGCTGAAAAGGAGCTGATGCCACTGGCAGCGCAGCTGGACAAGGAGCACCGCTTCCCGGCTGAGCAGGTGGGCATAAGGAGCGGGAATGGCACAGCCGGAGCCCCCCCGGCCGCTACTCTAGGGCAGGACCGTCCGGGCTGAGGCAAAATGTGCGTCCAGCTCCAGAGTAGCGGAAAACTGAAGTTCAGACCGACTTGTGTGAGAGTTCTGTGAGTATGGAGGTCTTAAAGCCCACGGGAGGTTTTGAGCTCTTCACCTTTACTTGTGTCTCTCTATATCTGGCTTTAGTACTGCTGAATTTTCAGTTCTCTTACCGACATACCTATGGGCTATAAAACAATTGAGTTATAAAATCAATTTATTATAAAATCAATTTATTTTAAAATCAATTTATTATAAAATAAAATATTATTATAAAATCAGTGTATTATAAAATACTTTTAAAGGTTGCACATTACCATAAAAATGGTTTACAGTGAGGAGGCAGAGATGACCTGAGTGCATTACAGATGGTGGAAAGAAGTGATTAGGAGATAAGAAATGCCTGTTGGTCATCCTCTGGGATTGTGAACAAATTGAGATGCCAGCCAAACCTGTGATTTCTCTTGTGGAAAGACACAGCAGTGTAGTCTGTGTGTGTTGAAATACGAAGCTTCAGAAAGACAGATCCTGTTGTGTTAGCCAAGAGGCTCCAAACAAACACAGCTGGAGGCATGTGAGTTTTGTCACACTCCTCTTTCTATTAAGGAGTAAGGAAGGTAGCCAGGAAAGTCACACTTACTCAAAGGAAGAAAACAACTCTTTTCCTTACTGTTCTCATCTGTGAATTTTACATTTGATTTTGAGTCTTTGCACTTGAATGTGTAGGGAAAAACTGAAAATGTAAACAGTGGTTATAAAGCAACATAGAAAGAGTTTCTGTCCTGTTCATCCTCTGGATTGGATGTCAAGGACTGGTGTGTTGGGTATCCTTACAGGAGGGAAATAATTTGTTTAAAAATTCCCCCAGGTTTCTCTTAAAGCAAACAGGGGCTGGTAACCCCTTATTTTTGCAACACCAGAAGCTTAATATCTTAAATATGAAAACAAAGCAAAGCTTGTTTTTTCTATGTTGCAAAACATTAACAAAAGACTTACAGTGAGACTGTGAAGAGTTTATGGTTGCAGAGCCAGGGGTCCAGCTGAGGAATTTGGGGTGGAACAGTGTGGAATGTAACCAACAATTAAATTCTGTGGGAAGCAAAATCTGGCTTTAATGCGAATGAAAAAACAATCACCTTCTTGCAATGTGTTCTCTGGGTCATTCATTCTATAAAATTCTTCCCCTGTGCAGTCCTAGGCTGAAGCTCAGCAGACTCAAAGGTAAAGTTCTGATGATTTTTATCAGCTAGATGTCCCATTGAAATCTTCCTACTGACAGGAGACATGCAAGGGGAGAAGCTTTGATGGGAGGCTGAAGAAGTGCTGGTGAGGTTCTGTCTCCTGATTTCACCTTCACAAGGCTCCCCCTTTCCTGGTACTGAAGAGACCTCTTTACACAAGTAACAATGACCAAGTACAGCTCCTGCTGAATTCACCAGGCCCTGGGGACACTTAGCAGTCTGTACAGTCAGATTCCCATTTCACAGGAGTTGTGGCATCTTTTCCTCTGGGTGCAGCCCTCCCATGACCCTTCCTTATCTCCACGTGTCCGTGTGTATTTTGTGGGACACTGGTGGTGCAGAGGATCTGACCTCTCCATTCCCTGTGTGCAGGTGAAGAAGATGGGTAGCCTAGGGCTGCTGGCTATGGATGTGCCAGAGAAGTACAAAGGAGCAGGCCTGGACTACCTGGCCTATTCCATTGCCGTGGAGGAGATCAGCAGGGGCTGTGCCTCCACGGGCGTCATCGTCAGCGTCAACAACGTGAGTGTGAGGGACAGGGGTGCAGCCTGGCTGGCACTGGGGGGTGACTGATGGGGAGGGGTGCCTGGGAAAAGTGGATCTGTTCCTGTGGTGGGTTCTGGTGTGTTGGAGAGCATGTAGGCATGAGGGAGTTACTGGATTGGTTGTACCTTTAAGAGGCACTAACAACACTCAATTATTAAAGTCCCTGTATTTAGGGCCAATACTCAAGTTTGGCTCCGAAGAGCAGAAGCACAAGTGGATTGCTCCCTTCACCAGTGGAGAGAAAATTGGATGTTTTGCCCTCAGTGAACCAGGTGATGTGACTGTTACCATCCCTGTTGCTTCTTTCCTTGGTCAGGTTTAGGGTGGACTTTAGGTCTGTGAAATTGTAACAGTTTGTAGAAAGGTGGTTTGTAGCAGTTCTAAGTGAAGTCCCAGTGCCCAAGGTGTGAACTGCTATCCCATGGTCCCAGCTGAAAATGCTCATCCCCTCAGTGAGCGGAGCTCTGGACACACTGGCCTTTCTGCTCCCTGTCTGGGTCCTGTGGGAGGGTGTCACAGTTGAGGAGGTGCCGTGAGCTGAGGGGGTGTGGGCAGGGGGTGAGTTTGTCCACTAGGCTGGCACAGGGGGCCTGAGGCTGGTTTGGTGGTGCCTCACCCAGGGAACGGCAGCGACGCGGGCGCGGCCTCCACGGTGGCGCGGCTGGACGGGGACGAGTGGGTTCTGAACGGCACCAAGGCCTGGATCACCAACGCCTGGGACGCCTCGGCCACTGTGGTGTTTGCCACGACAGACAAATCCCTGAAGCACAAGGTACGTTCCTTTGGATCAGTCAGGAAAAAGAGGCGGGAGTGAAGGAGTTGTGTGGGAGAAACACTTTGCAAAGGTCTGGATATTCTGTTCTTAGGGCCATGCAGGCATCGAGCAGAGGAGGGGCTGATGTGCACTGGCTTTGTGCTGTCTCAGCTCTCCCCTCCCTTCTCCTGGTTATCTGGACATGTGGCTAATGTGAAAAACGAAGGAAGCTTGTGGACAGCCAGGTTAGTGGGAAGGTGGCACCATTCTTAGGAGTTTGGGTCTTTTTGCAGGGCATTAGTGCGTTCTTGGTTCCCATGCCAACACCTGGGCTGTCACTGGGGAAGAAAGAAGACAAGCTGGGAATCCGAGCCTCTTCCACTGCCAACCTGATATTTGAGGACTGCAGGATACCCAAGGCCAACCTCCTGGGGCAGCCGGGAATGGGCTTCAAAATCGCCATGGTAAGAGAGGAATCAGGACACAGCTGTAGCTCCCAAGTTTTACCATTTTGTAAATCATTTCCAGAGTCATGATCACTTCCCTGAGAATCATTCCCGTAAGGTGTTCTATATATAATATAATAATGGCCAGTCTTCGCGAGCGAAGATTTGGGAAAGGTCATTAACCCTTCGAGCCTGCGCAGTGGATTTTTTTTTTAGGTGAGACCCAG